GGGGGCCCCCCGACGGGGGTCAGCCTCGCCTCGTCGTCGCGCCGCGACGGGGGTCGGAGCGCCTGCGGCGCGCAGTGGCTGCCCGCGCCTGGGGTCGATCTGGGGCTGTCGGCTCGGGGCGACGCCCCCCGACGCTTGCGAGTGAAACTCGGAGTACCTTTTTCTGGGGGCCCATGGGCCTTTGCAAAGGATGTACACCACCACCACGTCGATCCCTCCCCTCCTTCTCTTCCCAGCGAGAATGAGGGGGGGAGGGAGGTGGTGGTGGTGTACAGTGAGCGGCTTGAATAAGGAACACTCACTTTTCAAAAGGGGCTCGGTCGTTCCTTAGGTCTTACATGCGTGATTTACAGTTCCTCATGCGTTATCTATTATTCATCGCTCCTTAGGCGTTATTCCTTGGGATAGAGAGGGGCTTCGCCCCTTATTCATCGCTCCTTAGGTCAGGCCGATGACTGTAATTATATCTCTCGGCCCCCTCAATTTTCCTCCCCCGAGCTTCGCCTATACCCCCCCCCACCCCTCCGCGCAGAGGCCCGGCCGCAGGCGCTGCGGCCTCGCCCGGGCCGCCGTCCCCGGCGCCGGCGACGCCTCCCGCGGCCCGGCGCGCAGCGGCCGCGGCACCGGGCCGGCCCGCGGCTGGAAGGGCCCTCGCCTCGGGTGGGCTCCCCTGCCCGCCCCCTCCCCCCTCCACTCCTCGCCCCTGCTGCTCCCCCTCCCTCCCTCCCCTCCTCCCCTCCAGCTCTCCAGCTCCTGCTCCCTCTCAAGCTCCCCCCCTGCCTCCCTCCCCCAATTATTACCTCCCTCGCTGCCCCCTCCAAGAGAGAGGTGGAGTGGAAGAGCAGGTGCAGTGACGATGGAGGGTCTCGCGCTCGGTCCCGACGGCGGTTCTCGTCGCTGACGGGGCCTCCGGATGTCTGAACTCAGCCTGCTTTGCGCAATGCGCCGGGGAGCACGTTGAACAAATGCTCGCTCACTGGCAGTCTGAGCCAATCGCGATGCAGTATGACAGTGACACGCATACAACAAACGCTATCCTGACACCGGCGGGGGGGGACAAAAAAGCCTCCCTGCGACTTCATATTGCGTCTGCCATGACATGCAAGACCATTCTGCGAGCACCCACCTCGGGCGAGTCAGGCCGGCTGTACATTGCAAACAACATGTGACGGAATTCTTTAGTTTGTCACCCCGCCTTGTGGAACGCAAAGCAATGCCACGAAAACAAACGAATCATGGGTTCGACTAGGCATCCGATCTCTGCCATGCGTGCTGCGCGCCTGACCATACAGTCAGTGGCCACACGTCTCTTCGATGCCCAGGCTGGGGGCACTGCCGGACTTGTTAAAGCCATGTCAACACCCAATGTCGAACGATGGGCGAACATATTTCCTCCCTTCCCCTCCCATCCATTCCTGCTCCCTCCTGCTCCCTCCCTCCCTGCCTCCAGCTCCCTCCCTCCTCCTCTCCCCCTCCCTCCCTCCCTCTTCCCTCCCTCCCTCCTCCCCCCCCTCCCTCCCTCCCTCCCTCCCTCCCTCCCTCCCTCCCTCCCTCCCCCCTTCCCTCCCCTCCTCCCTCCCTCCCTGCCTCCAGCTCCCTCCTCCCTCCTCTCTCCCTCCCTCCCCCCAGGGTGGATGATCGGGGCCGCGGTGGTGTATTGGCTGCCGGGCACGGCGTCGGATTGAAGACTGCCGAGAGTACTATTTGAGCAGCGTGTTGCTCCACGCTCGTGGCCAACATGTGCTCCGGACGGCACTGCGGAGCATGACGCTCCTTTCCGCCGAGTCGATCCGATCCTTCCCTCCCTCTCCTCCCTCCCTCCCCTCCCCTCCCTTCCCTCCCTCCCTCGGAGCGTACCCGAGGGTCGGAGTGACTCCGCCCACTTCGATGCGCAAGTCCCCCCCGCCCTCCTCCCCTTCTCCCTCCCTCCTCCCAGAGGCCAAAGAGGCGGAACGGACGCAGACGCAGACCTGTCGGAGGCCAGTGCGGACGTCTTGGGTCGGCGCTGGGCCCCGCCGGCGGTGCCTCCGGCACCGCGCCCGGCGCAAAAATCGTCCCTGTTTTTGTGTGGACGACGACATGAATCCACGCTGGTTTCGAGAGTACGCATTGCGCAAATGTTCGTATAACGCGGCCGGTCTCGCGGATCGAGGGGCCGTGTTCATGTACATAGCTGGGCGCGTACGTCCTTTGTGGGCTCCCTAAATGGAGAGGAAGCGTGCTGCCAAATAGTTGCCAGATGTCCAACAAGTGTTTAAACCAGGTCTTAAACATATAAAAACCTGATTTAAGCATTTATTTAGAACATTCTCTCTATATTTTTAAAACACATCTTAAATTCAATGTCAGGACCGTGCGGATCTCCACTGCCATGGCACCCACAGCCCTGCTCGTCGCCGAGGGGCGAGTCCTGCAGCGGCGCCTACAGCGTCGCGCCCGCACGCCCCTCCTCCTTGGCGGGTGGTGTGGGCGAGTGGCCAGAGGGGCCGAGCGCTGCTTTCCCCCCCGTCGTCCGCGCGGGTGGTCGTGGGGGCCGTCCGGGCTCTGGCCGTCGTGGCCGTCGCCGTCCTCCTGCTCTAAAGCGACGCGAAGATCGGGACAAAATCGGATCGGGATTTTCGAAATCTCTGAGAATCGGCGGGTTTGGAGGATGTATTGGGCGCCGCGGCCGCTCCAGAGCGTTCCGGAACGCTCTGAGAGCGCTCCGGAACGCTCTGGAGCGATTTATCCCGATCCCAGCCTTGTTTTATGCTCTGAAAGTCGGGCCTGGCCCCCTACAGGAGGAAGACTCAGAAGTAGTCAACAGATAGGCCAGGGGCGATTTTTTGGGACTATTTCTCAGCCGTCCTGTGGTGTTGGGTCCTCGCTTTGAAGAGAGAGAGCGCCCGGCGGCTTACCTCGCCTCCCCTCCCGCTGCCCCCTCCTCCCTCTCCCTCCTCCTCCTATCAGCATCATCCCACCCATTTCGGCACACCCCTCACACGGTTCGTGGCGCCAATGGGAGCTCCACCGAAGGCTCCAGTGGCACAGGCCGCATGCGTCAGCGCCACCCAGGACAGCGTTTCCTGTCCTGGAAATCATTCCCAACCATCCTGTGGTGTTGGGTCCTCGTTTTGAAGAGACAGCGCCCCGCGTCTCACCTCCTCCTGCTGCCCCCTCCCTCCTCCCCCTCCTCCCTCCTCCCATTCCTGCTTCTGCTCGCCGCATGTCCACCATGTCTGCATACCCCTCACGAGGATCGTGGCCCCATAGGGAGCTCCACCGAAGGCCACAGCGGCACGGTTTGCATGCGTCCCCCCGTCAATTTCGGCACACCCCTCACGAGGATCGTGGCCCCAGATTGAGAATGTGCTATTGTAGTGGCCTCTGGCCAGTGCCGCCTGGACGACGATTTGAGATTGGGAATGTGCTATTTCTTGGCCAGTATCTCCGCCCTCGCGGAGCAAGACGAGCCAAGGCGGCGCCTCCGGCGCCTCCCCCCTCCGCGCCAGGGAGGGGGGTCTAGCGCTGAGCCAAGACACCCGCGCGGAGCGCCACACCTTTTCTGCTTATGGCGCTTCTTCTTCTTCTTCTAGCCTCGCTCCTTCTTCTTCTTCTTCTTCTTCATCTTCTTATTCTTAGTATTCTTATTATTATTATTCCTATTCTTCATGTTTGTGGCGTTGTTTCTTCTTCTTCCAGCCTCGCTCCTTGCTTGGGGCTCTTGGGGCTCCTGAGGCTCATTATTATTATTATGTGTATTACTATTATCATTATTGCTAGTGTTCTTCTTCTTATTATTATCATTCGTATTAGCATTAGCATTAGTATTAGTATTAGTATTAGTATTAGTATTAGTATTAGTATTAGTATTAGTATTAGTATTAGTATTCGTATTAGTATTAGTATTAGTATTAGTATTCGCATTCGTATTCGTATTCGTATTCGTATTAGTATTAGTATTAGTAATAGTATTAGTATTCGTATTAGTATTAGTAATAGTATTAGTATTAGTATTAGTATTAGTATTAGTATTAGTATTAGTATCAGTATTAGTATTAGTATTAGTAGTAGTATTAGTATTAGTATTCGTATTAATAGTATTAGTATTAGTATTAGTATTAGTATTAGTATTAGTATTAGTATTAGTATTAGTATTAGTATTAGTATTAGTATTACTTAGAATTAGTATTAGTATTAGTAGTAGTATTAGTATTAGTATTAGTATTAGTATTAGTATTAGTATTAGTATTAGTATTAGTATTAGTATTAGTATTAGTATTAGTAATAGTAATAGTATTAGTATTATTATTAGTAGTAGTATTAGTATTAGTATTAGTATTAGTATTAGTATTAGTAATAGTAGTATTAGTGTTAGTATTAATATTAGGATGTCAGGGCGGTTGCTTCATGGCGTTCTCGGACGGCCCCGAGGGCCGGTAGAAGGACCCCCGGAGGCCGAGCAGATGTCATGAAAGACCTCCCGACGTGACCCAAAACCGCCATGGGGGTCTGAACAAGTAAATACATATATGGATACATAATAGGTAAATAAGTAAATACATAAATAAATATATACATAAATAAACAAACAAACTTATAAATGGTACATGAATGAGTGAATACATAAATAAATAAATATACATTAGAGAAGCACTTCATATTATTTGTTGTGATGCTTATTGACTGAAGTGTCATCTGATTATGTTATCCTGTCCTTCACTGCTTTGTTCTGTTGCATTTACATATCTGTTTGCTTATTTTGAGCTCCTGTTTTCAGTTCACCTTGAGTCATTACAGTAATATTATGCAATTACATAACATAAATTCAAAAGTATTTATTCATGCTACGGGAAAATGTTACGGTAATACTAGTATTATTATTGTTAATATTCTTTTTCTTCATATTTGCGGCGTTTTTTTCTTCTTCTTCTTCTTCCAGCCTCGCTCCTTGCTTGGGGGCTCCTTCGGCCAGCGCCCCCGCTGTGCTCGCCGCCCCCGCGGCGCCAGACGCAGCCGAGGCCGCGGCGGCCTCCCCGGCGCGGTGCCCCAGCGCGGGCCCCGCGCGCGGACGCCGGTGCGCGGCGTCGCTCGCCCCCAGCGGCGCTGCGCCGCCGGGCTCCCCGAGGCGGCGGGGGCCGGGGCTCGAGGGGGAGGGGGAGGGGGAGGGGAGGGGGAGGAGGAAGGAGGAGGAGGAGTAGGAGGAGGAGGAGGAGGAGGAGGAGGAGGAGGAGGAGGAGGAGGAGGAGGAGGAGGAGGAGGAGGAGGAGGAGGAGGGGGAGGAGGAGGAGGAGGAGGAGGTGGGAGGAGGAGGAGGAGGGGGAGGAGGACAAGCTAGGTGCGCTCGCGTCATATCTGGCATCCTACCCCTCCCTCACATCCCTTACCATGGCGCAGATCCCCTCTCTACTCGCACAGTCGGACGTCGAGCAGGGCAATGATCCCGAAAGGGTGCGCGATGCATTGTAGAGCACGGCATGGCATGGCGTAGAAGAGCACCGCAAAGCGTAGTATCAACCTAGCATTGCATTGCATTGCATGCCGTGGCATGGCGCGGGAAATGACGCCAGCGCTGCAGCGGGAGCACGAGTCGAAACGAGCGGAAGCGCGGAAATGAGGCCAGCGCTGCAGCGGGAGCACGATTCGGAACGAGCGGAAACACGGAAATGAGGCCAGCGCTGCAGCGGGAGCACGATTCGGAACGAGCGGGGCCCGAAAATGAGGCCGGCGCCTCAGCGAGAGCAGCATTTTGGAAACAAATGCAGGCGAAAACCCAACTCCAGGGAAACCTGTGTGTAAAACAACAGGACGCGGGGGGGGGTCGGACATTTTCAGGCCGTCATCGGGGGAAGAGGGAGAGTAGTATTCATATTGAGTACCCTGTGTCCGTCAATAGTTTCGGGGCCCCGGACTACAGGTACCCCCCGGACTACAAGTACCCCTCCCCCGGACTACAGGTACCCCCCCCCGGACTACAGGTACCCCCCCCCGGACTACAGGTACCCCCCCCCGGACTACTATAGGTACCCCCCCCCGGACTACAGGTACCCTCCTAGCCCCTAGCCCCCGGAACTACAAGCCCCCCCGCGTTCGCTACGTAGTCTCTGGAAGCCAAAGCGGCCCGCCAAGATGCGTCCGCACATTTTCACTTAGGCGTGCGTGCATGCGCGCGTGCGCGCGGGCGTGTCGTGTGCAACGATGCGCGTGAGGTCCCGCGCGCGTAAGTACTAAACACTCGCGTGCGTGGAACCACGCGTGCTTTCAGGCATGACCATATCATATCTATATATATTATATATATATATCTTCTATATAATAGCTATGACTAAATGCACCCTCGCTCACCCACCAAACCACCCAACAACCCGACAGGCTCAAATTACGTCGATTTCCAGTGGGGGGTGGCGAGGTCGGGGCCCATCGAAAAAACAGCGTTGGAAACCTTTACCCCCCAACCGAACTGGGTCTTCGAAGAGTTGTGCCGGATGTGGAAGGCCGTCACCCACGGAGAAGGGTTGGAGTACCCCCATGCGCGCCCCCCCCCCGGACTACAGGTACCCCCCCCCCCCAACCCCGGATACAGGTAACACCCCCGCGACTACATGTACCACCCCCCCCCCCCCCCCCCGGTACAGGTCCCCCAACCTCGGACTACAAGACCCACCTACGGACTATAAGGTACCCCCGACAAACAGGTACCCCCAAAGTTTATTGAGTGACAGAGATAATTGAGGCGGGGGGCGGAGGGGAGGAGAGGAGGAGGAGGAGGAGGAGGAGGAGGAGGCGGAGGAGGAGGAGGAGGAGGAGGAGGAGGAGGAGAGGAGGAGGAGGAGATGGAGGAGGAGGGGAGGACGGAGGAGGGGAGGAGGAGGAGGAGGAGGAGGAGGAGGAGGAGGAGGAGGAGGAGGAGGAGGCAGGGAGGAGGAGGAGGAGGAGGAGGAGGAGGAGGAGGAGGAGGAGGGGGAGGAGGGGCGGGTTGAGGGGAGGAGGAGGAGGAGGGAGGAGGAGGGAGGAGGAGGAGGAGGAGGAGGAGGAGAGGCAGGAGGAGGAGGGGAGGAGGAGGAGGAGGAGGAGGAGGAGGAGGAGGCGGTAGGAGGCAGGAGGAGGAGGAGGAGGATGGAGGAGGAGGAGGGAGGAGGAGGAGGAGGCGGGGGACGGAGGAGTAGGAGGAGGGGGAGGGAGGAGGAAGGAGGAGGAGGAGGAGGTGGAGGGGAGGCGGAGGAGGAGGAGGAGGCGGAGGAGGAGGAGGAGGGGGAGGAGGACGGGGTGTCGCTCGGACGTGTGCATGTTTTCTTGGCGAAGCAGGGCTCGTTTCGATTCCCCCCGATTCGATTCGATTTGGCTTTGATGGCTTTCGATTCCGACTCGACTCGACTTCGGGTTCAGATTTTGACTCCGATTTCTACATCGGCAATACTGCTCTGTCGATTTCCGCCGATTCGACGTTTCCCGACTCGGCTGCCGATGTCCGCCGATCCGATTCATTCCTGTCGCCGATTCGACTCATCGATTCGATTCTGG